CAAGTTGTGCGAAGTTCCTAATAAACCGGCAGGAAATATAAGCACAGACCCAGAAAACTTCACAGGTCCTTCACTGTTCGTGGTGGTTCAAAGTTGCGAACCACTGCGCTCTTCTGTGGGTCTGGTCGCACGCCTTCTTTATTCACGAGAAAGCCTAATATGAGGGCTTGACGTTCTCCAAAATGACACTTCTTTCAGTTTAAAACAAGGCCAGCTTCGCGTGAGCATTCAAACACAATCGACAAGCGGTGGTTATGCTATTGAAAAGTCTCGCCGTAGATAATCACGTCATCTAAATAGCACATGCGAATTTCCCATTTTAGTACACGGAGTACTGCATCCATAAATCTCTCCAATGTCGCTGGAGAATTGCACAAACCAAAGGGCATAACGTTGAACTTAAAGAACCATCTGGTGTTACGAAGGCCATCTTCTCTTTATCTGAAGGATGCATAGGAATTTGCCAATACCCAGAACGCAAGTCAACAGAAGAAAAATAGGAGGCAGAATGCAGGCAGTCCACAGGCGTCATCTATACGTGGCAAAGGGTAGACGTATTTTTTTATGATGGCATTTAGGCGACGATAGTCTACGCAGAATCTCCATGAATTATCCTTTTTCCTCACTAGAATGACAGGAGCTGCCCATGGACTACAGGATTCTTGTATGACGCCTTTCTTTAGCATGTGTTCAACTTGCTCAGCGATGACTTTCCTTTCGCAAGGCGATACACGATAGGGCTTCCGGCGTATTGGTGGTGCTTGGCCTGTATAGATGTGGTGTTGTGTACGTGAAGACGGTGGCGTAACGGTAGACGTCTCGTCTTGCGCAAAGTCAAAGACTGAGGCGTAGCGTGCGATCACCTCCTGCTGCAGCGACCGTTCAGTTGATGGAAGTGACTTGTTAATCATACGGTCAATGCTGGCAGAATAGTCGGGGTACGAGTTGGCGTGGGGTATCTTCACATCCACCGACAGTTGGAGTGACCGTGTGGTAAGAGTACTTTGCTCTTGAAAGCGTGCCAATTTAAGTCCTGCAGGCAGATATATGGGCTGCGCGGAAACGTTCACAGTCCACAAATCGGCACGACCATCGACGGTGAGCACGAGGCAACAAGGCGCAATAACGTTTTTCTTAAGTGCGTTACTAAAGTTCGGCTCGGCTAACCGTAGTAAGAACCCGCACAAGAACGCGAAGAGTTTACACGCACAAACTATTGCGGTATGTGGGGCCAAGCAGACGTATTCAGACACAGAAAACACTTACAAGGAGTCATCAACGGTATCTTTCGTCAATGGAGATGGCAACACGGGACGAAAAATAATCCCACCACTACCACAATCTAGAGTTTCACCACATTACCGCAAAAAATCTATACCTAGAATGACGTCGTGGGTCGCTCGTGCAAGCACCGTTAGTTCAGCTCGAAACGTTTGATTTCCTACAGAAAGTAAAACAGAACAAACGCCAACCGGGCTCAACGTTTCTCCCCCTACGCCGCGGAACGTAGCATTCTGATTCCAAGCAAACATTACTTTCGTCCGAAGCCGATTTTTAAAAGACATGCTCATTATGGAAACGGCAGCACCGGTATCAACTAGTGCAACAGTACTCACATTGTCTACAAAAACACTCACTTTCTTCTTAACCATTACAACACAAGGGGGTCTTGCGGAAGATGATTTTGCGGCCTCGCCCCCATTGGTCGCGCCAGTTAAGTTTCCCAGTGGTGGTGGCGTCCCTGAGCGGCGACGCGGAGACGGGGATCGCTGTTGGCGTGCGGGTGGTGGGTAACGCTGCGGTCGGAGCAAGGCGAGTCAGCAGCGTGCTGCGTGTTGCTGTTGGAAAGAGCCCTGAAATGGTGGAGACTCGCCAGCAGGTACATAGGGCGTGTACGCGTTGAATCGTGGAGCTCGCTGCTTGGCGACAATAGCAGTACCTAGCGATGTGTCCAGGTAGCCCGCAGTTGTAGCAAGTACGGGTGTCGCGTCTAGTCATCGGTTGATAAAAGCCGGGCGATGGTGGTCGAGGAGTAAATGGCTGTGACACAGCTTGCCTGCATTTCTAGTTTTTCGAGTGGTCGTTCATTCCTTCGTTCGAACCAATCGGTGTAATTCGGGCGAGGCTCAAAGTAGCTCTGTCGCATCCGAGGTACCAGTGGTTCACGGGGCCGATGGTCGAATGCACACTGATGGCAGACACCAGCGGTGTCCAAAGCTTGCAGTTGAGCAAGTTCTTCCTTAACCACTCGTCTTATAAGAGAAGAGATGTCGTCCTGCGATGGAAGGTTGACACTTGCAATCGTGGGCACATTCTCAAGACGTCCAAATTTCGGTACGGCTCTCCTCCTCTTTAGCGCTTCAAACGCTCGGCAGTGTCTCCTTAGGTCGGAAGGTGTGTGTAAGTCTTCCTTAGTGATAAAGAAATTGTACACGTCTTCCGCGATTCTCTTGAACAGATGACCTACCTTATCTTCGTCACACATGGTCGCACTCATGATTCCGCAAAGCTTCAAGACGGCCTCGATGTAGGTGGTGCATGTTTCGCCAGGTAACTGAGCTCGGCGTGAAAGCGTTTGCCCCGCCTGCTTGACCTTAGCTGTTGAACCACCAAAACACCTCGTCAGCTTGTCCATGAAAATGTCCCATGTGGTAAATGCACTCTCATTGTTGTCGAACCAAAGAGACGCGGTGCCGACGAGAAAAAACAACACGTTCTCGAGCTGCTTAGCAGTGCTCCAGCGGTTGCTGCGACTCACTCTTTGGTAGTGCTTGAGCCAGTCGTCAACATCGTCATCCGGCTGCCCCGAAAAGGTCCTCGGCTGTCGTTCCTTACATGCCGCAGCGATCTTGTCCTGGCGGGTGAGCGTGTTGCTCATCAGCAACGAGGTTGTTATGACCTGCTCCCACGTCCTCCATGTCTAGTAGCTGCGGTGGCAAGCCTGCCAAGCGTCTGCTCCGTCGCAAAATCGGTAGAGCTGGGTCGTCCAGATCGATGTAGCCGGCACTTTCAACCAAACTGTTACGAGTGACTGTGTTTATTTACAGATGAGGTGAAATGGTGTTGTGAAATAGCAGCGTACTTCTGAGACAGGCCTAGAACGCTTCCACCCAACCACACAGTCCAGGTGCCGCTCCACTACTCTTCTTCTTCTTCTTCTGCACCCCATAGGCTTACGCATCTTCGTTTCAATATTATTTGCCATTTTTCACTGATGTAAAAGTACTCATTTGCGTCGCCCGCAATATATTTTTGTATAAGGAAGTCCACCCCTAGTTCTTTTTGTCGACTAATCTGCGGTAGCACAGAACGTGTCCGTTCTTCAGCACTGTGTGAACCTCACATGTCCTCCTAACTTCGCTGAGCCCTCATACATCCCATTTACACCCTCCAATTTCTCGAATAGCACCACTAGACTAGCGTCACTAGATAGCGTTCTAGTGTTGAAGGTAGCCAAGTTCAGATTCCAATGGCGGCCTGTCCGGACCCAGAAATTCTTGGCACCCTCTGCTGCGTCGCAGGTCTCACTGCCTTGGATAGTTGTTTTGCAGCTGCTGCTGACTGAAGGCCAAGGGTTGATTCGTATTTTCATGAGGGAAGGTATTCATCAAGTACTGGCCCAGGGTAGCCAATACTGCTCTGGCGAGGAAGTGCGTTACCGGCAGGTCGTCGCCAGTGAGGCGGTATCCCAGAGCTCTTTTTTAAAGATACATTTATCACGCGTTTTATGTATACGATTGGTAATGGTACGGCATCTGCATTCAAACCACATTTGTCATTGCATGCTTGGCTGCTGCGCTATGTCTAAGTAGAGTGCTCTGTTGCACTTTCTTAGCACTGTGGAATACCACTTCACAGCCTAGCTGCTCTCAACTCCTCATGACTTGTACCTTGCTTGACTTTTCTTAACTATTTGAAAGTCCATATTTCTCTCATATATATTTTTATAAATGGCGTGGTTTTGAACTTGTGACCTTGCGAGCTTAGGCCAGCTTTGTGCCCAGGATGATTCTCCTTTTTGCGCGTTTAGTCTCTTTTTCCCGTCTCGCTCAATTTTGACATTGTTGGCTTCAAAGTATCCGCAATGCAGTAGTTTTTCTCGCACTCTTACTTGACGTTTCCTGCCAATGGACTAGTCGCGCACTCCTGTTTTGCGAACTAATCTGCTACTTCTATGTGATTGTTACGTTGAGTGCACACGTCCCGTGTGGTAGGTTTGCATAAAAAGTAAACGCAAGAAGTTTCTAGCCGCTGAAAAATACTGACACTGCCATTAGGAATGTTTCCTGTTTTGTTGTCGTTTTGAAGTAGTAATAAAACGATGATAGACTCCCTAGTCGTGAGTCAGATATAAGTACTAGTAAATAGTGTAAAGAAGAGCAAGTACTCCGGCGCAGACGCAGCGACATCTAGCGTGCAGGAGTGGCTCGAGCTCGGAAATCATGTCTGGTGCATCGCCTTCCAATCCTTCGAAGCATCAACTTTTCTGCTCAATAAATCTCCTTTATAAGTGGTGGAGCCGTGCTGGGTACCGTCCTCTATACCTTCCCACTACCATCCTGGAACTCCGTTCTCGACGGCTGCCTTCTGCTATGCCGGACGCCGATCAGCACACGCTTCCTTCTCTTCGGCCACCTGTCCAGGCTGTGTTCCTCAGCGGGAGCCTCCAATCTTCAGAAGCAACAGATGACAACAACGTTGAAGATTGGCTCTCGACTTTCGAACGGGTGAGCACTTCAAACAGATGGACGGACGCGGACAAGTTGACAGGCGTGTCGTTCTACCTCGCGGGTGTAGCCAGCCTTTGGCTTAGAAACCATGAGGTAGACGTCCGAACGTGGCCGCAATTTGAAACGTTGATTGTAACCGTCTTCAATCGACCTGCCGTCCGAAAACTTTGTGCCGAGCAACGTTTACTCACACGCGCACAAGTAACGGGTGAAACTTTCCCTAGTTACATAGAAGACGTCGTCGATTTGTGCAGACGCGTGAACGCCACAATGACGGAAGCTGAAAAATGTAAGCATATCCTCAAAGAGATTGACGACGATGCTTTTCAAGTGCTCTTGGCAAAAATCCCAACTACTTTTAACGAGATAATTAGCCTCTGCCAAAGCTACGATGAATTGCGGAAGCAGCAAGCTCTGACAAGACGCCCTCCAGCGCACGATTTGGCATCACTGTCTAGTGGGATAAATGGTCATGACCAAGCGTAACTATTAGCCAAAATGAAAGCATTTGTCCGCGAAGAAGTCGCACGACAGCTTTTCTTGAGGCCCTTCACACCAGAACCTACCACAACTTTACCGTCGTCTCTTCGTGGCGTCATTCATGGAGAGGTAGCCGAGCCCTTACCAGCTGGTCGCGAGCCTAATCTTGTGGCAGCTCCTCTCACCTACGCCGCGGCTGCAGCCATGCCAACTCGCAAGGCGCCTGCGCCTCTGTTGCAGCCTCGCGCGAGCTTTCCCCCAGCTCCAGTTCACTGGACCAGCACTAACACCGCGAACCCGTGGCGCACCCTCAACAATCACCCGATATGTTACGCTTGTCGATACCCCGGACACGTCGCAAAGTATTGCCGCTGCCGGACGCATATCAACAATGAAAACCGCCGTGAGCCTTTCTTCCCGCTTGACTCCAACGCGCAATACGGTTCTTCCACTCCAATGCCAGCCCGCTACCAGGACGACCACCGCCCTCGGTCGGGACGTCTTCGCTCCCCCTCTCCTTGCCGCCGCTCGCCTTCTCCTATGCGTCGACGGCCCGCGCCTAACGAGGAGGAAAGCTAGACGACGCAGTTCCTGAGGTAAGAACTGCACATGTTTCGGTTTGCCCAAGTCCTCAATTGTCACCTACCAATGTTATTGATGTGTTCGTCGAAATATCCTACTGTCCGCTCCTTGTAGATACCGGTGCAGCTGTTTCTGTTATAGATGCTGGATTTTGCTGCTTTATTCGTAAGGTTACGACGCCTTTCTCCAGATCATCGCTTCGCACGGCCAGTGCTCAACCTGTTCAACTGACCACAGTATGTACAGCCCACGTGACAATTCAGGACGTTCTGTATACGACAGAGTTCATCGTTCTTTCATCTTGCTCCCATACTATTATCTTGGGAAGGGACTATTTGTCGCATCATAACGCCGTAATCGACTGTGCTTGGGCTGAGGTTGAATTTTGCTCAGTGGATGACCAAGCGTCCGTCGACACCCAGTCTGCCGCTAAACTTGTCGTTAACGATGACACCTACATCCCTCCATGCTCTTTTGCGTTCGTGCCAGTTTCATGCAGCGCTATATCCGACGGCACGGTCTTCTTCACACCATCTCCAATATTCGTCGCCCGAAGAGCCCTCCCCCTGTCTTTTGCTGCTCTCGACCTTGTAGAAGGCTCAACCACAATGCCAATTTCTAATCATGAGTCGTCGTCTTTATCCCTACTTTGTCACGAGTGCCTTGGCCACGTCGAGACGATCAGCTCTACCGGAATTATATCCGTCCCCGATGAGGTACCTTCTACCTCTGTCTGTGAAGTGGCTGTCGTCTCAGCGGCTGACTCAACGTCGGCAAACATATTTCAACCATTCATCACTGCAGATTTGACATCTTCGCAGCGTTCACAACTCCTCACCATTGTTGAGTGCTACCGCCATTCTTTCTACGTTGAACAAACATCTCTCGGCCGTGCCTTAGCAGTAGAACACCACATTGGCACTGGGTCCCACTCACCGCTGCGACAATGACCATATCGCGTGTCCGCTACAGAACGCCGCGTCATTGCTGACCAAGTAGACGACATGGTTCGCAAAGGCGTCATTCGACCTACACAGAACCCATGGGCGTCTCCTGTGATCCTTGTCAAAAATAAAGATGGTTCTATTCGTTTCTGTGTCGATTTCCAGTGATTGAACAAGGTCACGCTGAAGGATGTCTATCCACTACCACGCATTGACGATGCTTTGGACAGTTTACAGGGTGCCGAGTTCTTTTCTTCGACAGACTTGCAGTCAGGCTACTGGCAGGTGCCTATGGCGGAGGCCGATCGCCCCAAAGCCGCTTTTGTCACACCAGACGGCTTATATGAATTTACCGTCATGCCCTTCTGACATCGCAATGCTCCTGCAACGTTCAAACAAATTATGGACAACATTCTGCGTGGACTAAAATGGAAGATATTGTTACGCAAGGCAAGGTAAACAAATGGGCGTTTTTAATTGGCCCTGAGTCCGCGATCACCGTATAATGATGATTATCTCCCCCGCCATGGCTCGTACCCACTCAGAGGGATCGCAGTGAAGGCAACGTCGTCTTCATTCTCTACCCGCGCTTCCCTTGTTTTTCCTGGTAGTGATACTTCTTATCATTCCTCCGGTCTCAGACGAAGCCCTCTGGGCGAGTCATTCTTGCATCCTACATGTAAACGGCTTCGGGCGGGCAACATGCGTCACCTCTGTCGCGCGTGAACGTCGGCCACTAGTGGTGACACGTGCAATTTCATAGTTGACCTCGCTGAGACGATGGAGTATCACGAAAGGACCGGCGTAGTGTGCCAGTAGCTTTTAGCTCAAGTCACGTCTGCGTAGTTGGGTCCACGTCAAGCCACGTCTGCGTAACGGGAGAGCAAGCCCCCTGAGACGAAATGCTGTGCACAGAATTTTGGACAGCGAAAACGAAGACGACCTTCCAGACCTGGGACACGTCATTGGTGCTTGTGCAGGGGCGAGGGAGAATGGCCGTCTTTTGAGCTCGAGCAGCCTGCCTGCTGCAACAGTGCCATCATCCGGCACTGTTACAGGTGTGGACGAAGGGACGGTGGCGGCACCGGCGTATACGCAACTTAAGGCGAAGCGCGTACGCATCACTCCCGAAGAGGGCGAGGCCCGCCGTGTCGCGAAGGAGCTCGAGAATCATCGCAAGGCCATGGCCATCGAAATTGGGCGCGCCTCTAAGCCTGGGCACTGCATGAAGTATGTGACAGTGGTGTTGGACTCCCGGCTAATGGACGACAAGGCCTCGCTCCAGCTGATGTGCGAGACGCTAGAGCAGGCGAAGATCCGAGCTGAAATGCAGACACTACCTGTAGAGCGTGCCGTCTGTTGGAAGCGCACTGCACTGTCTCTAAATGAGGATGACTGCGTGCTGTTCAGGGATCAGGTGGAAGAAAGGGACGTAATGGTGGTGCTTCCCTGGGACCAATTTTTGCACCTGGTCGCTTCCCAGAGGCAGGACTCGTCAGTGAGTACACAGACATCTCTCAGCGAGCACATGATGAGCATCAACGAAGTCTATCCCAACAGGCAGCTCACCTATGTCGTCTATGGGCTGGAGAAATACTTCAACAGAGATGTGCTTACGCAGCAGAAGAGTCTAGCCAACGCAGAATACCGAGCCCTGGTGTTGGGCTCGCAGCCAGCAGTTCGCAGGCGCAAGCCAGGTGTCTACGACGGAGTGCCCCTGTCTCGCAACGACATCCAGGAGACGCTAGTGCCACTGCAGCTGGACAGTGGCATCACCGTGGCAACAAAGGAGAGCATAGAAGAGCTAACCGAATACCTGGCCAAGTTCACTCGTGCACTGGCCGAGCGACCACATAGGGAGGCCAAGCAAAGCCGTCCACTGCAACATCTGGCGCCTGGCTCACTCTCCAAGCACGACAGCCTCAGGCGCACCTGGCAGGCACAGCTGGAGCAGTTTGCCAGCGTCAGTAGAGACGTGGCCAAGGCCATCGTCTGCGAGTACCCAGCACCTCCACCAAATTGTTACACAAGGCAAGGTAAATTAATGGGGGTTTTTAATGGACCCTGAATCCACGATCACCGTATAATGATGATGATCTCCACCGCCATGGCTCGTACCCACTCAGAGGGATCGCAGTGAAGGAAACGTCGTCTTCATTGTCTACCCGCGCTTCCCTTGTTTTTGCTGGTAGTGATACTTCTTATCAATATGCTTGTGTTACCTCAATGATATCGTGGTCTTCGCCCCTAACTTGGACACCCACTTACGTCGCCTTCAGCACGTCCTTACTTACTTGACTAACGCCAGTTTGCAATTAAACCTCAAAAAATGTCGATTTGCCATGCGTCAACTGAACGTTTTGGGCCACGTTGTTTCTAAGGAAGGCATCCTCCCAGATCCTGAGAAATTGCGAGCTGTTACGGCGTTTCCTAAACCTGCCACCATCAAAGAACTACGAAGTTTCATCGGCTTGTGTTCGTATTTCCGGCGATTCATCCGAAACTTCGCGTCCATTATATCACCTCTCACGCAACTTTTCAGCAACTGTTAAGACCTCTTATCGTGGTCCCCTGCCTGCGACAAGGCTTTCACCGCCTTGCGATGGCTGCTCACGACGCTACCCATTCTGCGCCATTTCGATCCTGAAGCTCCAACTGAAATCCACACCGACGCCAGTGGTGTAGGTCTGGGTGCTGTGCGCGCACAGCGTAAACCGGAGCATCAGGAATACGTCGTGGCATACGCTAGTTTCACACTTACCAAGGCTGAGAGCAACTACAGCGTCACAGAAAAGGAGTGCTTGGCCATTGTGTGGGCCCTTCGAAAGTTTCGCCCATATCTATATGGTCGTTCTTTTGACGTCGTCACCGACCACCGCGCGCTGTGCTGGATTTCGACATTAAAAGACCCATCTGGCCGCCTCACTCGCGGGGCGTTGAAAATTCAAGATTATGACATACGCGTGCTTTATCGGTCAGGACGGAAATGCTTCCGTCCTGACCGATAAAGCACGCTGACACCGACACCCTTTGCCGTCCCCCCCCCCAGAATGCCACAGCTGACTCCGCTTGCGATTCCACATTGTGATCTCTTGACTTTGACACCATTGTTATCGAACAACGCAATGACCCGTGGACTGCGTCTATTCTCAATCATGTCTCCGACCAAGTTCCACACTTCTCCATACGTGACACGCTTCTCTATCGACGCAACTACGCACCAGAGGGACGCAAGTGGCTGCTCGTCGTTCCACGAACCCCGAGGTCGCAGATTTGTTCCTCTTTCCACGCTGACCCACAATGTGGCCCCGCAGTAGTCTTCAAGACCCGCGAAAGGCTTCGACATCATTACTACTGGCGTGGTATGTATACCTTCGTCCGCAACTTCGTCCGCTCTTGTGCCGAATGTCAGTGTCGAAAATCTCCACCACACGCCTCCGCCGGTGAACTGCAGCCTTTACCATGCCTTTCCCGACCCTTCGAATGAACTGGAATAGATATTTATGGGCCACTTTCATCGACTCCGACTGGCGACAGGTGGATAATACTTGCTATCGACCACCTAACGCGCTATGCTGAGACCGCTGCTCTTCAAACGGCTACAGCACAGGAGGTTGCCACTTTCCTACTGCGTCATTTTGTGTTGCGTCAAGGAGGCCCCCAAGAACTCCTCAGTGACCGTGTCCGTGCCTTCTTGTCCGAGGTCATTGAAAAATAGCTCGCTGAGTGTGCTATTGTACATTGCACATGTGCCGCTTACCACCCTTAAACCAATGTGGCTACCGAGCACTTTAATCGTACTCTCGGTGACATGCTATCTATTTATGTGACGCCTGATCACTATAACTGAGACTTAGTTCTCCCGTTCATTACATACGCCTATAATACGGCAACACAAGCGACAACAGGCTTCTCCCCTTTTCACCTCCTATACGGCTGTCACCCCTCCCACACCATTGACACCATTCTGCCCTATCGACCAGATGCGCTCGAGTGCCTACCTATCTTGGACGCCGCCAGACACGCAGAATAATGTCGCCAGTTAGCTCGTCGCTTTACCTGCGATGACCAAAACAGGCAAAAAGCAATTTTTCTTTATTCATTCATCAAATACCCCGCAGCGCCCGAAGGCGTTATAGCAGGGGGGTTACATCAATAAATGACGTACATCTCCGTTCACACACACAATACAACTTTGTTCACACATAATTTACTGAAATACATTTTCGTCCACACACATAGTAGAATTTTGTTCACACATCAATACATCTTCGTTCAGGTTACAACACGGGTTTACAGCAGTGAATAAATTATACCTTCGTTCCCACTATGTACTTGCATTTCAGTTAGCCTGTTCCACTGTTTAATCGTTCTAGGAAAAAATGAAATGGCCTACATGTTCATTTTAGCTGGGTATTCCCGAATTTTGCATCTATGATCAAAACGTTTTGAAATGTAATGAGGGTTGTGTAGGTATATTTCTCTATTAATTCCAGTTTTATTGTGGTAAATGCAGTGAAGAAATTTTAATCTCTGCTTCTGGCGGCGGTCAGAAAGACACTCTCATCATAGCTCAGCCTTCATTGCATTGCAGCTCTCCCCCCTTCCGTACCGTCCCAAGACGAACCTGCCAGCATGATTTTGTAATTGTTCCAGAGCAGCAATGAAGGTTACCTCGGCGGGGTCCCACAGGACACAACCGCATTCTAAGATAGGTCTCATACAAGTAGTGTATGCCATACGTTTCAAATTCACATGCGAACGTCGCAGGTTTCTTTGAATGAAATTTAAGGCCTTACCAGCTTTGGCTATGAGAGTGTCAACCTGAGGCCTTCATGAACTCACAAGAGTGGAAACTTGGGCTAGTTGGTGCGCAGTCATATTTGCAAGATGTTTCAGCGCGCGAACAAAGAAAAAAGGACAGGGTAGACAGAAAGAGCGCTGACTTCCAACTAACTTTATTTCACAGAGTGGCAAGAATCTATACTGCTAAAAAGGATGATAACAGAGCATGAAGGTAAATTGCACCCTAATCTACACATCAGTAACAAAACACGTGTGACAGGTCCTCTATTGCCTCAAAGCCCAGCTAGGTAATCACGTTCAGCCTGTGATAAAGCAATCGATGATGTGCTTAAGCATTTATCTCTTAGCAAGTGTATTTTTTTGGCTTCAATAATTTCTCGGGTAAGCTGGTGCCTTGCCAATATTGAGCACTGATCAAAAAGAGGGGTGCACCCACAATATCGGCAATGAATGCCAAGATGCCCATGTACCACATTGTGCACATTGTTTCGGTGTTCTCGGAGGCGGTCATTTATGCACCTGCCGGTTTGCCCGACATAGATGCACCCACACGTCAGTGGAATCAAGTAAACGACTCCCACTGCGCATGGGACGTAGCATGTCCTGTGCGCGACAGAGCACGAGACAGAATTTGCACGAGGTGCATTGACCCGTTTGCAAAGCATGTGCAATTTTTCCGGGACGCCAACGTTTTTGTGGTTTTTTCTGCCCCGGAAAAATTGCAGAGGCTTTGCAAACAGGTCAATGCACCTCGTGCAAATTCTGCCTCGTGCTCTGTCGCGCACAGGACACGCTACGTCCCATGAGCAGTGGGAGTCGTTTACTTGATTCCACTGACGTGTGGGTGCATCTATGTCGGGCAAACCGGCAGGTGCATAAATGACCGCCTCCGAGAACACCGAAACAATGTGCACAATGTGGTACATGGGAATCCTGGCATTCATTGCCGAGATTGTGGGTGCACCCCTCTCTTTGATCAGTGCTCAATATTGGCAAGGCACCAGCTTACCCGAGAAATTATTGAAGCCGAAAAAATACACTTGCTAGGATATAAATGTGTAAGCACATCATCGATTGCTTTATCACAGGCTGGACGTGATTACCTAGCTGGGCTTTGAGGCAATAGAGGACCTGTCACACGTGTTTTGTTACTGATGTGTAGATTAGGGTGCATTTTACCTTCATGCTCTGTTATCATCCTTTTTAGCAGTATATATTCTTGCCACTGTGTGAAATAAAGTTAGTTGGAAGTCAGCGCTCTTTCTGTCTACCCTGTCCTTTTTCCTTTGTTCGCGCGCTGAAACATCTTGCAAATATGCCTCCATGAACATTATGAAGATAGTATTATACCTACGTACTTATATGTACTCTCTTGTTTCAACTGTATATTGTTCAAATGGTACTGTGACTGAAATGGTTTCATCTTTTTGGTAAATGAAATATGTACACACTTTGTTATATTCCAATTCATTTTCCATTTGGTACACCAGCTATGAATGAGCGATTAGTCTTCTTGAAGTTCTAATACATCATTGTGATCAAAACTTTTTCTGTGCACAACACAGTCATCCGCAAACAACCGTATAAAAGATGAAATTCCTGCAGAGATATCATTAACATAAATAAAAAACAATAGCGGATCCAGGACGGAGCCTTGTGGGACCCCTGAGGTAACATCGGTGTATTCGGAGCATTTTCCATTCAGTACTACGGTTTGTGTTCTTTGGGAAAGGTAACATTCGATCCAATTAAAAACAGTCTTATCAATGTTCAGGGTGGGAAGCTTAAACAGTAAGAGTGAATGTGACACCGTGTCAGACGCTTTCCGAAAATCCAAAAACACACCGACAACCTGTCCTACAGTATCTACGCCCGATATTAAATCATGATAAAATTCGACTAATTGTGTTGTGCAAGACAGCCCTCTGCGAAATCCATGCTGCTCGTTCATTAGTACCTTATGCTTGTTTAAATGAGTTATTATTTCTTTGTATAAAATATGTTCGATGATTTTACACGGGATAGACGTAAGCGATATTGGTCTATAATTACCAACGTCTTTTTTGGACCCACCTTTATGTATCGGTACCACGTGCGCAATTTTCCAGTCTTGTGGTAAGGTACCTGTCGCTAAAGGTCTTTCAAAAATTGCATAAAGATACATAGAAATTGGCCCCGCACAACGCTTGAGCACACGCGGAGAAATTCCATCTGGACCACTAGATTTACTCTCATCAACGTCCTTCGATAGTTTTTCAATTCCATTAACACTAAGCTCGACAGGAAGCATAGGCGAAATGCTCATAATAGTTTGATGATAATTACAGCTGTGTTTGGGTAAGAATACCGAGTGGAAAAAGTTGTTTAGGCATGAAGCCTTATCCTCGTCATTTGTAATTACCTTGCCGTTGTAATTTAACTTCTGTATTTCAAAGGAATCTGAGCCCCACTGTCTTAAGTACTTCCAAAACATTTTAGGATTTGATTTAATTTTGTTGCTCAGCTCAGTGAAGTAATCATCCTTAGCTTTTTCTATCTTTAGCTTATATTCGTGGGTAATCGACTTCAGTTTTTCAAAGTGAGCAACTGATTTGCTTTTCTTGAATGCTCCTAATGCCCTCTTCCTTTTGTTGATAAGTTTCAGTATATGTGCTGTTACCCATGGTTGTTTGTGCTTTTTTAGCCGTGATGAATGAACACTGGGGATATGTCTATTTGTTAACTTGGAAAATATATTCTAAAATTTGTCCCAGATATTATGCACATTGCCCTCCTCAAAAAGACATTCAAAAACAGTGAACGAATTACGAAGTGCTTTAGAAATTGCACCGTAGTCACCCTTGTCATAAAAGTAGATCCTTCTACTCGTAGGTAACTTCGCACACACTTTTTTCTTTCGGATACAAGCAACAACAGCAAGATGGTCACTAATTCCTGGAATCACAGTCACGTCATTTGCGAACTTCGGCGAGTTACGAAACAACAAGTCTAACACAGCGTCATTGCGAGTAGGGGTGGTAACGTACTGCGTCAGACCAAACGTGTCGACGATATTTTTCATCACAAGGTTCATGCGCCCGCTTATACTTATACAGGAACCATTACCCCAGGATAAGCCAGGCAGATTAAAATGCCCTCCTAGGAGCATTGTCCGGGCTGACGCTTTAGAAAGAATTTCGTTTAATGTTTGCATTATGCTAATATCTGAGCTCGGCGAGCGATAAACCAGTCCGACCAAAAACGCGAAGTTATCAGGCAGTATTATCTTGCACCATACAGACTCCAGTGCGTCGCACCTATAATCAACTTCAAATGACTGTAAGCAAGAACGAACAAGTAAAAAAATGCCACCACCTGCTGTGAGCCTATCGTTGCGATAGACGACGTAATTTTGCGGAAACACCTCACTATTAGCAATCGAGGGCTTTATCCAAGATTCTGCGCCAAGGACTATATCTGCGTTAACACTCTCAATTAAGCCCAAGAGCTTAGCAAATTTATTAACTACGCTTCGGCAGTTCACGATGACGGCAACAAGTTCTTGACATCGGTATTTCTCCTTTTTTCTAGTTTGTCATTGCCTGCGTACTGGGATGACCTCTTCTTTTTCGTCATCCCACCTGAAAGCCCTGCCGTTGATAATCAGTTTGTCAAAATTGAGCTTCACTTTATTGTTCTTATCTTCTCTTTTTGTCTTAGCATATTCCCACAGCTTATTCCTGATTCATGTGAGTAATCTTCGCTAACGCTGTACTGGGAATTCTTGAATCTTTTGGCATTGAGAAGCACTGCCTGACGCTCTTTGTACAATGAGAATTTAACAATAATTGGCCTCTTCTTATTCTCATTATAGCGTCCTAAGTGATGTGCTCTTTCCACAGACTCGAGTTCCATTCCAAGGCTCGTTTTGCTAATATTCTTTATTATAGCTTCGGATTCATCCCAGGATTCTGAGGTTTTATCATCAAAGCCATAGAAAACAAGATTTTTCCGGCAACTTCTGTTTTCGAGGTACTTTGTTTTCTTTTGCAGATCTTTCACCTGTTGCATGAGTTGCCGTATTATAGCTGCCTATTCCGTTACAATCTTGCTGATGTCCCTTATCTGGTTCTGAGTTTGGCTAAGATTATTTTTTACTTCCATCAGTATGTACTCATTTTTTTCGAACCTGGATTTAATGCCGTTTAACTTTGAAATTAAAGTTTCCTGCCCATTCTGCAAACATTTCAGCACTTCCATCTCCGGTGTCTTAGCAGGACCTGGGATCAGTTCAACATCCCCCGCGAGTATTAACAACAAAATCAAATACAGCACTCTGTTAGAAAATAATTGGAATCTCTTCAGACGCGACGTATGCATCGTGCATCCGTGGTCTTTGTTACGAACAGTTAGTGCGAGGAGCCGGCAATGCATATACAAGTCTCCGTGATTGAGATGGGTAGTAATGACTAACCTGCACCAGCAACAGTTGCATCAGCGACATGTCGGCAAGTGTGCCGGCTCCAAATCCCACCAAGCCATCGTGCTGAGTGCCTATATACGCCTGATTGGCACCACGTGAGTTCTGTTGGCCCAAATTGATTGTTTGATCCTCGTTGATTCATCCGTGGCTCGAGCCACATGTGCCTCTGACGACAGATGATGACCCATGCCCACGTATGGATGATAGTTGAGATACTCTAGATGCTCACCAGGGATCAGACAAAAAGGGCTGTGTCCTGCGTTCCACTGCATCGAAGTGTATCGCAGAAACCAGCAGCAGAGGTACCTGCACCAGCAACAGTTGCATCGGCGACATGTCGGCAAGTGTGCCGGCTCCAAATCCAACCTGCACCCAGCAACCGGTTGCATCAGCGACATGTCGGCAAGTGTGCCGGCTACAAATCCCACCAAGCCATAGTGCTGAGTGCCTATATACGCCTGATTGGCACCACGTGAGTTCTGTTGGCCCAAATTGATTGTTTTGATCCTCGTTTGATTCATCCGTGGCTCGAGCACATGTGCCTCTGACGCCAGATGATGACCCCACATGCCCACGTCTGGATGATAGCTTGAGATACTCTAGATTGCTCACAAGGGATCAGACAAAAAGGGCTGTGTCCTGCGTTCCACTGCATCGAAGTGTATCGCAGAAACCAGCAGCAGAGGTACCTGCACCAGCAACAGTTGCATCGGCGACATGTCGGCAAGTGTGCTGGCTCCAAATCCCAAATTCATGATGCCCAGACCTCAACTCCAGTTTTTCTTCGGGTGCTCTTGTGTGAATGTCAGCGCCGAAAATCTGCACCACACGCCTCTGCCGGTAAACTGCAGCTTTTACCATGCCCTTCCCGGCCCTTCGAACTGGTCGGAATACTTATTTATGGGCCACTTACATTGACTCCGACTGGCAACAGGTGGATAATGGTTGCTATCGACCACCTAACGCGCTATGCTGAGACCACTGCTCTTCAAACGGCAACAGCACAGGAGGTTGCCACTTTCCTACTGCGTCATTTTGTGTTGCGTCATGGAGGCCCTCAAGGCCTCCTCCGGGACCGCGGCCACGCCTTCTTGTCCGAGGTCATTGAAAAATTGCTCGCTGAGTGTGCTATTGTACATCGCACTTGTACCGCTTACCACCCTCAAACCAATGGGGCTACCGAGCGCTTTAATCGTACTCTGTGTGACAAGCAATCTATGTATCTGGCGCCTGATCACTCTAACTGGGACTTAGTTCTTCCATTCATTAACTACGCCTATAATACGGCAACGCAAGCGACAACAGGCTTGTCCCCTTTTTACCTCCTCTACGGCCGTCACCCCTCCCACACCATTGACACCATTCTGCCCTATTGACCGGACGCGTCTGAGTGCCTACCGATCTTGAACGCCGCCAGACACGCAGAATAATGTCGCCAGTTAGCTCGTCGCTTTACCTGCGATGACCAAAACAGGCAAAACGCGATTCATGAAGCCCAGACCTCGACTGCAGTTTTTCTTCCGGGTGCTCTTGTGTGGCTGTCAGTGCCGCATCGCACACCTGGGCTCTCTTTCAAACTTCTGCCAAAGTACGATGGATCATATCGTATTCTCGAACAAACTTCGCCAGTAAATTACCTCATTGAGTCTCTTACGCTACCGTCAGAATTGCGACGTCACAATCGCAGGGTTGTACACGTCCAGAGGCTCAAGCAGTACCATGGTTCAACGCCGCCTGCACAGGACTAAGTCGCCAGGATGGCTCCTTTTTTTTCTCCGTGGGGCCATTGTAAAGAAGAGGAAGTACTCCGGCGCACAGGCAACAGCATCGAGCGTGCAGGAGCGGCTCGAACTCGGAAATTGCGGCTGGTGCCTCAACTTCCAAGCCTAACAAGCATCAACCTTTCTGCTCAATAAATCTCCTTTATAATACGTATACGGCTATCCTAACAGCGCAAAATGGTGAATGAAAAGGTAAAGAGTGAAATATTTCTGATTCAAGAGATCGGCGAAAGGCAAGAATCTTCGTACGAACTTAATGACGTGTTTCCATCAGTCACCACATATATCGTCAGCTTGAAGTGATGGACCCCGACGACTCTCAGCGCCACACACATGCGTAACAATAAGTCCACGCGATACGTTCAGCTTCCACTGACAGCATTTCGGAGTGACGACCTGGTGGTGACGTTGAGAAGTAGACATTAGATCGCACGTACGCTCAGTTGTTCCGGAGACAGCGGAAAGAAGAGTGCATGGCAGTCATTCACTTTTCAACTCAGGAATTTTGAGTCTCAAGAGAGTGCATATGCTTAGAGGTCTGCAAGCAAAACTACAAACAAGAGGTTTTATGTGCTGCGCGTGCCCGCGTTTCTGGCGCAATTCAACGGTCGTTTACGCCTTTTGTTTCTATATAGACGCTCTTGCATACAACGGCTACAGTGTAGTCGCCCTCCTTTCTACCCATGATAGTTGGCGACACGCAAACAGGCTATTTTTTTTTCGTGGGCATCGCAAGCACGTTTAACGTTCAGGTATCTCGAAGCTTGCATAACGCGCGTTTGCTGCACCCCACGGCGGTGCATTTGTCGGAGTCTCCGATTGCGTGGTAGTCGTAAAAAACGACGGTGAAACATTGTCATTTCTTCTCTCGTGGTTGTTCCGCCCTGACTCTATTTGTATGCGCGAGTTTCGTTTGCATGTTTCAACACAAATCATGGGGGAAAAAGATGTGCGATACTAGACGCTCCACGCTAAGGACGGAAATGCATTGACGATATTGAGTGTGCAAGTGTTCCGCCTCGGTTGCAGACGTGGATCAACAAAGCCGTTTCATCGAATGAGTGCTCTCGGGCAATCTTTCCGATTTCTTTGTCGTTGAGTTATGCAATAAAGAGAAACTGGGTTTTATTATGCAAGCAACAGCAATAAACATTTTTGGCGAAGCGTAGGGGTTAGCACACTTCTGCGCAAAAACAAAACGTTCCAGGTGGTATTCAATAAATTGTTATTAAAACAGTCATAGATAATACTCACATTAGGTAAAGATTAAGAGTTGCCCCCCTCCCCCTTCTTCAGAAAAACTCACATTCAATATATTGACGTACAAAAAAAAAGCTGGAGGATAGTTGATAAAAAACGAATCACAAACACAATCATAATCTTACAAACACAATCTCATCAGTGGCATGTTTTTTGACGCATAGGCGACACGGGAAGAAATCAAAT